CTATTGTCTTGTAAACTTTTTCATCGGCATTTCTCAGAACCCCTAAACTTTACATATTGACCTATTTTATTAAAACATTCGGGGGCTGGGCCAAAGGACTTTAGCTTCTTTTTCAAATATTAATTTAAGCATTATATACTAGCTTTAATTTGTTAAAACAAAATAAATAAATAAAAAATCCGGGGTTTTCGTTTTATATCTAAACCGTGCTGACATTTTAAGACCCCCTCCTTATAAAAATTCCCCCTTTTAGTCATTCCTGGCAAATTTCTATGGCAAATATTTCATGGGCCCACCCGCTTTCCCAGCATTTTCCTGGCCAAGCCTTTGAAGCATTTTCCAGGCAAAAAAAAGGGGAGGCCACCCACAATGTCTGCGGGCCGTCGAAAGTGAAATACTTAACCGACCTGGAAAAACTGTGTGGCACGGCGCATAATAAACATATTTTCCAATCTCCCGAAAAACTCGTTTATCCGATCCATTCCGATTTGATCCGTTTCAGCCGATTCCGTTTCGTTCCGTGCCATTTCGTTCCGTTGTCAACCAGACAGCGCGTCTGCGCGAATGCGGATGCTGGGTGCGAAAGAGACGGGCTCTAACGAAAAGAAAGAGACGGCTGTAGTCGGAAAAACTCAATGAATGGCAGTAAAAACAAAATACACTAGCTGAAGGCTGATTGCACTGCGAGAAACAGAGGAGCAACCACTTAAATCGGAAAGCCAAGAAAAATCAAAAATCAAAACGGAAAATAAATATATCGAAAAGCCAGAATTTATTTAAATTTTAAATATGAGACTGCAAATAAGAAATAATTAAATGTTACAAATAAATATGGGCATGTTGTAATCAATGTGTTGCATTGCATACTCGAACTAAATACAAAAACGTAATAATTAATACAAAACATAAAAAAGTGATATTATTTCAAAATATTTTAATCAAGATATCAAATATTAGATATGTAAGATGTTAGTTAAATATATGTTAAGCATTTTAAGTCTTCCAATCAAGAACATTTCATAATTAAATCCAAAATTGAAGTCTTTGAATGCTAATTAAAATTAAATGTTATATTTTCACATTCAAAAATAATAAACACCGCACTAGATGGAAAACATTTCAAAAAAATAGTTGGCTGAATATGAAATATGTGATGTTATTACATTATTATACACAAATAAAATATCATTCATTTAAATTCAAATCATAATTTATGAATTACTGATTTTTTTTTTGTGTGTAGTTCGAGACTTGCCTGAATTTTTGTACGTAGGCAGCGATTGAGGATCGCAGACAAAAGCGCCGTGAATTGTTATGGCTTGTAGTTGTGATCGCTGTAGTTGCAGCTGAAGTCGGGGTTTTTCTATATCTTTTTCTATGCATCAGATAAGTTAATTGGCCGCTTTGGCCTGGCCCAAAGGGAAACGGCTAGAGTTTTGGCCGCCGATGCTGCCTGTTGCCGCTGGCAAAACTTGTTGCTGCGGTGCCGTGCCTCTCAAAGTGCAGCAGCAACATTGTTACACCAGCAACATCGACAATTGCAGCAGCAACAGCTACAGCAGCAACAGCAGCAGCAGCAACAACAATTGCCTCCAACTCGTAACCCAGTGACACAGTTTTGATTGAATTGAATGGAATGGAGTGGAATTGAGTCCGTTTGTGCAAGTTGCGAGCCTCAAAATCCGATGCGATCCGATCTGATCGAGTGCCAGCCGCATTCTAAGTGTGTATTTTCAACGGCAGGGGCAAAAGTTTCCTAAATCCAATAGCCGCCAATTATAATTGCTGGATTTGTCTAGACATTTGCATAGAAAACGATTGCAATTAATAAATATAATACATAAAAGTGATAAAGGCATACATATTTTATATCAAATTCGGTTTTCTATATTTGGTTTTTGTGAATTTTATTTGTTTAATTGGTATATATTATTACCATTTTATTTTAAAAATTATATAACAGTTCTTTCCACATTTTGAGATACCATAATAATTATTTAAGTGTATTTTTAAACTGTAACTTTACTTTGCTTATATTATATGAATTTAAAATGCTGCTTTCATAAGTGCGTAAAAAGCTAATTAAAATCATATAAGATATTGTCCGTATTTTGAAGTATAAAGTATTAAAATTTCAACTAAATAAAATGAAATAAAATGTTGTTTGTACCAGATATATTATTAAATATAAATGTTCACTGTTAAATTGTTGATTTTTGATTATTAATAAAAAAAAGATAAGTGTTTTTTTTTAGTTTTTACAACTTTATATATATTGAGTATTTTATTTAAAAAACATTTTTTGCTAAATATTGGATTCTAACATTAATGATATATTTCTAAATTATTTCATTTCCAAATGACATTTCCCCGCTCAAATTTCGCAACGCCCCCTTAACCCCCCTGTGCCATCGTTCTTAACCCATCACATTCTACATCGCCACGTTTTCCCATTTATCTGCCCGAAATTCCCCGTCCCTGAGTGCGATAATTTAATTAAACCGACATGACAATTCACAAAGAGATAATTGCTAAATTACCGCCAACAACAATGGCAACTACAACGACAACAGCAAAAAAACAACAACAGAAAATAGCAACAAATGCAATGGAAAATGATTTCAATAATTGACCAAAAAGGTAAACACAGAAAACTTTTTTGAGATATTAGTTAGCCGCATGCAATTGCATTGATCGGGAAATCAGAGAGCGTATCAATTGATGTTCATGTGTGGGTTAACTGAACGGACGTCAGCCACAAAAGGGTTAAGCAAAACAAAATGACTGAAAAACTAACATTTTTCCAAGTTTTTTGCTCACTTTGGCGCCACATAGGATTTCATTCATGAAATTGAAATTTTAAATCACTTTTGCAGCACAGTTTTGAATACTCTTCCCTAAATTCAACAGTTTTTTAATACAATACATAAACTATATTTTTTTAAATAATATAATAAAAAATGTATATGTAATTAAAGTTGTCTAATCATTTTTTATTTATTTTTATACATAACAATAGTTATTTTGACTATATTTTAATTTTATAACATTTAACTAAGAAAACACAGAGTTTTTTGTAAAAATTACTCTTTTCCTTAACAAATAAAATAATAAAAGTCTCGTAAAAAGTGTATTAAAAATAGTTAATTGAAGAGTCCCCGGTGGGCGGAAGTGACGTAACGACGGCACTCGGATAGTGCGAGAGAGACGGGGCGAGGCGGTGCGAAAGAGACAGCAGGAGACGCGCGCCGCTGATTTAACGCACCGCTGACTTTGAGTTTGTGGCCAAAGTCTTTCGTTTTCGTTCCCATTCCTGACCTCGTGCTGCATTTTCAGCTTTTCATCGGAAAATCGGCGGGGGGTGGAAAAGGGGGGGCGGGGCGGGGATTCAATTGTCAACTGCATGCAAATCTGAAAGAGACGGAAAACTGGCCATGCAACCCGGCTTGGCCTCTTTTTTCCAGCGCGGAATTTCTTGTTTTATTATACTCTTGCAGAAAGTACTGCAATTTAGTTAGGGATTTGGAATTCAACTAATTTAAAATATAATATATACATATATATATATTTATATATTTTTTTGCAATTTTTGCAATCTGCATTACCATTCCCTGTTTTAATACTTACTGAATACTTAAGTAGTATTGCTTTAGGAAATTGTGTATAAACAACAGCCTACAATTCTTAAAAATATATTTTTTTCAATTTATTTTGTTTCAAAAAAAAATATAAATTTAACATTTGATTGTATGTGCAATACACTTTTTAAATATTTTTTAAAACCAAAGATTGGTTTTTTAGAAAAGTATAATGATAACGTTGGATGAAGTGTATTAATTTTAAAATAAATTAAAGTGGCATCTAAAAATTATTATATTTTTATTGAGAGGGTATGCGAGCCCCGGCTTATTAAAGTGTATTTTTCCCCAACTTTGTTTCGTTCGTCGTTGCAGTTTGCTTGCAGCGTAACTCGTGACGTAAGTGCACTGCAAGGGGGGCGGCGGGGTCCAGAGGTTCATTGAGCAAAGTGCGCAAATGTCACTTGGCTTTGACACATTGCCAATGAATTGCGAACTTCAGTTACCATCGATGTCAATATGCAATATGCCAAGGCGAATTCGCAGGAAAATTGCATTCAAGAAAATATTTGGATGGATAATGCATAGTCATAAGTTTGTTTACAATAATAATTGATGGCAATTTAAAGGCGATATGTGTAATGTTAATTTTTATTAAATATTTAAAATAGACTTAATAAGAAAAATTTTAATATTATAAAATAGGGTTTAAGACTTAATTAAAAGGAAAACACTATATGAAAAATTAAAAAAAAAACCTTGTCTTATAAAATGAGTTAAACTTAAACACATACAAACTAAGTGAGTAATCTTTTTTCTTAAAGGACTTTTTAAGAATTCCAGTTTCCTGGTTAATGTTTAAAGCACTGAAAATTACAAGACCTTTCCTAAATTTAAACACAAAAAGGGTTATGGAAGATACTTAATTATGGAAATTTGTTTTGCTTGCTTTTTTTTCTTGTTGCTTATTCTAAAATATTATTCTGTGGAATCATTTAACCCATATTTTAATCAGGACTGCGGACCACTTGGCAACCACAGCGAATCGTTCGCATAAATAACTCTTCGAGTGCGTTAAAATGCGATTATTCACTGGTTGCATTCTGGAATGTCGATATGCTAATCACTTTAAATGGGTAGAGAAGGGCATTAGTGCCAATGGCATAATTGCCAGCAGTTTGGGACTGTAATTCTAAAGAAATCTCTTAGTTCCCATTCCCATTCTGATGTGCTTTAATATTTTATATTTAATATAATACATTTTAAACTAAGAAATTCCCATGCATGGCAACAAAGTTGCCAAAATATCTGCAATATTTGTTGCAGCAACAATGTGTCTAAGCAAGGGAGACACTCAAAAAGCAAAGACAATGCAAAACACTCGAAGAGATACCACTCAAGAGAGCGCGAGAGAGGGAGAGCGGTGAGATTGAGAGAGAGAATTGTGCTTGTGTTTGGCGAACAAATTGAAATAGCTCAACCGGCAAAAAAGCTTTCCAGAGTTTCACAATTTGGCGCGAAGAAAACGAAATCGAAATCTCTTTTGGGCTAGGGCAGTACGAATATCGCGGGGTGTTTATATTTACTATATCATTCACTCACTTTCTGAGTAAAAGAGTCGTAGCGTAGTATTTCTCTCGCTCATTTGCAGAATATTGTGTTTTTTTTTGTATTTGAACCCTGCTCTTGGGAAAAGTTGCGGTCAGTATTCTAGGAATTAGTAATATACGGTTTTATTACAACTATGTGAGTATTTCCTTTTATAAAAGTATGCATGTTTAAAAATAAATTAATGTTAATGCATAAAGTATAAGTATTTTCTTGCATACATATTTACTTATGTGTGTATGTATTAACATTCCACCTGAAACGACAATGTCTATAAACTGTCCTGTTTTATCGTTGTCATTGGCGAATTCTTAAGTTTGTATTCCAGTAATTTACGACCAGCATATGTATACATATGTACATATTTAGTGCTACTATTTCGCGCACAATTGTGTTTGTATCTCTGTGTTGCGGTTGTGTGTTCAGGGGCGTATAAATAGGGGTTGGGGCCTTTAATTTGGTATTGCAATTATTTATTTATTACAAAATTTAGTAAGATAAAAATCATAGGATTTTAAAAAGGAAACAAACTGCCCGATTTTCTTAAAACAATAAGAAGTGCTGATCAGTTTGAAATAAAAGTAAAGGAATTCCTAAAAATAAATAGCTCTAACAATTAAAAGATAAATTTAATTTATTACAAGTAATACCTATATAAGCTATTATGTGTATTTTAAAACATTGCCAGTTTTCAATGATCTATGATATCATAGCGACTAGCAAAATAATTTATAAGTTTTGAAACTGGTAACGTTGGGATATATACAAAAAAATAAATAAATATGAGTATATGTATATTTAGGAATAGAAAATTAAATATTCATACATAAAAAAAAGAAAAAGAATTCCTAAAAATAAATTGCTCTAACAATACCACTAATATGTGTATTTCAAAAGATGGTCAGTTTCAAATTGTTTATGATATCATAGCGACTAACGAAATAATTTATAAGTTTAGAAACTGGTAGTGCTGGGATATATCCAAATAAATAAATAGATATGAGTATTTATTAATGAATACATTTTAAATATTTATAAAAAAATGTTATTACATTTTTAAGTTAGGTATTGTGACAATATCAAAGTACTGAACTGGGCGTATTATACATAGATCTTAAGACCCCCCTTGGCCGACGCATGTGACAGTGCCTTCGGCGAGGGCGTCGTCCAAAATGTCTGCGAATTTCCCGCTTTTCCACCCGCTTTTCCATCGGACGTGAGTGAAAGGAAAAGTGGTTGCCATTCGGCATCACCGTTACCAACATAATGGTTCCAAAACAGAAAAATAGAAATAGGAGAAAAGAAGACGAGGGACCCAGACAAATTTAATTGCGGCGGCGACCTAAAATACGTAAAAGGGGGGAGTCCGGAGATCTATTGATTTTTTCCGCGACCGCCACGCCCAGTTGGCTGTGCGAATATTTATGTTACAGCCGGATAAAGATAGAGATCGGTGCGTTGTCGTCGTAAAACTTGTCCAAATTTATAATTTGACATTTATGCATTCTTTATGATTATTTATTACGTTAATTTTTGATTAAAACTGGCGTCGACAACAACCCCTAACTTGTCTGGTCTCCCAATTTTTTTTTTGTATTTCATATTTTCCTCCCGGTCACTTAATTCATTTGCGACATTTATGGCTCCGCTTTTTTTGACTCAATTAGATAAACTTGGGCGGGAAGAATGGAGTTCGTGATCTTGAAATTGATTGAAGAGTCTTCCACAGAAATAACCACAATTACACGATTCTGTGGGCTCTTTTTCTTCGGTGGGTCATTTATTATAGTTTAAAATACAGATAATAAATATTACGAAGAGTGGTTGCTACATATATCACTCATGCGTTATGTTTAAATATATGTTTTTTAACTATTTAAATTTTCTTAATATCGATAATCTTACTCTAGATTGATAGATGATGTATATGTTTTTGTAACACACAATGTAAACAATGAATATATGAAATATATTATATTGAAGTAAAGTAATGTTCATAATCATTTTTTAGTCGTATAAGATTATAATCTTTTGAAGACCTATTGATTGACTTTTTGTACTTTTACCAAATTTGGACATACAGAAATGTGAATAGAATTCAAGGTACTAAACAGGATTCCGATAGCCTCCGACATTCTGGGAGGCACACGTGCTTCCACTCATTGCACGCCCAGTTGGCACTATAAAATGCGAATAATTATACTATATTTCCGAGTGGCGATTAATGCGAAATTCGCATTCGGCTTAGAGACAGGGAAGAGCCATAAAGTGCAAAATTTTGCTGATTATTCAGCAGCATACATAAATTACACAGACAAATGCACACCAGACACATACTATACGTACTATATAGTAATATATGCCATATACACGAGAGTCCATTATCGTGCATTCGAAGTCGAGATTTCTCCCCATGCTTTACTGATTTACTTATTTTAATTTCACATTTCGCGTACACTTTTTTCGCTTTATTGCCCGTCCAACTTCCGTCCCCGAACTTTGTCAACTGCAGTTAAAATTTATTTTATTTGATATTTCTCGGCGCACGAAGCTCTCTATAAAATTAAATGCTCGTATAAGTCCGTTGTGTCTTTTAACATGCTGTGAAACATGGGAAAACAGGTCGTAAAGTTGGTCTAAAAACTCTAAAAACTTTGAAATAAAAGTGCCAGTAAACGTATATGTGCACGGTTTCTGTCGTCGTAAAAAATTGCGAGTGACGTACAGAATTTGCACACTCGCAAATCGTGCCCTTGGCCCTCAAGTCGAGCTTAAGCTAAAGATTATGATGCTATGGCTAATGGGATTATGTCTAAAGTTCGTCAGTTCCGGCTTCGAAAAGTGGGATACGGCTACCAAATTGTTAGAACTTAACATTTAGGGGACAAACATTCTTCTATTCCAAAGATATGACTAAACCTTGGGGTAGTTTCCAGCACTTGGTTTTGGATAAAAGTCGGAATAAAAAATAAAGCAGACTCTAAAACGATACTTCGCAGATAAGATTACAGATCTAGAGAGATAAAGTATTCATATAGAAGAACTAATAAATATGAGTGACAGGTAACAACGAAGAAAGTGGAGTATCAGTCCGTTATGATGATTATATAATGGAGAGTACTTCACTGGATTGACTGAAATTATTTATTTATTACTACGCCTATATGAAGTAATGGCTATAAAAGCATTATATGGTTGCAATAATAAATGAATCTATTTCTGGTAGCAGAATTGAATCCTGGTCTTATCTTCAGTTCCGTCATGTTATATATATATTCCAAATTGCTGCAGTATACTGAAAACCTGATAATACAAATGCATGATCTCATACTCTCGGAAACAGTACAACCAAAAATAAAATAATTTCATATCTGCTATTACCGATTTCCTATAACTCATGCAAAAATATACATGTACATACATACATACATGCGTTTTATCAATATAGCGAGTGTTCGTGGAATTTACACTCAAGTTTCTACGTTTGTTATTATTTTTTTATTTGCCAATCGAAAGCACAATAAAAGATCGGGACTCTGACATTTGATACACCCTCCAGAATTTTGTGTTTACTTGTTTTTGCTGCAGTTTGTAGTATTATTATTATTATGTCTTGGCTGCGTCTTTGTTTATATTTTTGTTTTTGCCCGCCGCCCTGCTATTTTCTATTTTCTATTTGCAGCGTTTGTTTAGCATTTTTACGTAATTTCATTTCGCCTTCTACTTTTCCCTGCACTTTGTCACCGTCTATCAGTCGCTTTCTGTTTTTTTCCTGCTATTTTTTCTGTTTATTTTTTTTCTATATTTTTTTTTTGTGTGCATTTGGCAAATTAGCTTCGCTGCGCAGCCCCTTCTACCGTTGGTGTAGAATGTCAACGCAAGAGGTGCAGTTATCGTCAATTTCTGTTTGTTTTCATGGCACCCATTGATTGTAATTCTAGCTCTGGGAATTATGATCTTTAATAAAGAAAATGGTTCAATGAAAAAGTTTGCTTTTGATGTCTTGATAAACTTAGAACACATCATACATTATCTTATTAAATAAATTATAATGATTTTAAATTAAAATTAAATTTTAATAACAAATAAATAGTTTTGCTTACCTTTTATTTTGCTCTATAATATTTACCATTATGTAAATTTAATATAGATAATATTTATTATTTTTAAACTTTTTATCTTTGATACATTAAATACCAAATATTAGTAATGAATGTCTACATATATTTATAAATATTTTGTATGCCATATAATGTTAAGCACTATGCACATTTTAACAATTTTTTTTTAACACTTTGTCTTTTTTTTTATTATTTATTTTCCAGGTCATTTTCCAGTCGCATCACTTGTGTTTGTTTATTTTTTGTGCTTGCCATTTTCCACAGGGATACGTATACGAACACAATGCCAGGGTATCTCCTTACTGGCCACTCATTACTTGCAGTTTTCCCTTTGTTTCAGTCGCTTTATCAGCATTTCAAATGTGGGAACCACAGACGGACCCCGCCCCCCGCCTACCCGCCCACCACTTCCACCGAAGGGCGTGGCGACAGTGGGACGCCTTAACAAATTCTAGGGCAAAACAAATTTCCCAAAGCGCAACAGTTGACACGAAGAGAATTATTTTGGTAAGTTATTAAGTCTAAGAATATTTAGTTTTATAACTATAAATATTTATAAATCCATTTTGGGACAGATTAAAAATACATAAATGTTTCCATTATTATTAGAAAAATTAAGGTTTTTTAAGGAAAACTTCAATAGGGTATTAAATAAATTTTAAATATCGTTTAAGGTGTCTAAAAGTATGCAGTTAATCAAGGATATCCTTCATTCTGAATAAATGCAATGTATTAAATATACTGTTGCATACTTCTAGGCACCTAGAATGACACTTTAAAATGATTTAAAAACCCCTAGTGATTTTTGTAGCACCCCCATAAATCTAAGTTTTATAATTTGTATTGCAAATATTCAGCATCGTATTGCAAGTGCATGTTTTCGCGCAGTGCAGCTGATAAGGCCGCAGTGAGAGGACATCTGTTAATTAGCCATGCACGTGGCTTTATTTTTATTTTTTATGGAGCTTTGGCTTGGCGCCATTTGCTCTCATTTGGGGAGCGCGGGCTTTTTGGACCCCCTTTAACCCTCCGGCGGCCCCGTCGCCGTAGTACAGTTTACAGTTACGCCGATAAGCTGAAAGTGCCAGGTAAGAAGCGCTTAATAATCGCATTTGTTATTGCATTTGCACGAGCAGTTCTTGCCGTTTTGCACATATGCAAATGCAAATGAATATGCATGTGCATAATATGCTCACCTAATCGCATGCAAATGCCGCTTTTCAAGGAGTGCAAAACTGAAGTGGTGCACTGCTAGAAACATTTAAAAGATATATTATTGTAGTCATTACAGAATCTTACCCATTCCCGTTTCAGTGCTATTTTTCTAAAATCCGAACATGTTTTTTTATTTACCTACTGCTTGCTTAAAGCTAAAAACTAAAGTCCAAACATATATTTCTTAGGCTTTTTCCTTTTAAACCGACATATAAAATTATTATAATACTCTATTATAATTATATTATTACACCGAAAAAACGATGGAAAATTGAATTTAAAGTGTCGTATTACTTATTTAAATTAAATACATAAACGTACCTTTTAGTACAAATCATATTAGAATGCTTGATTTAATTTGAAAATATTTAAGTCAAGTCAGAAGATATTTACTTTAAATATTTTCTGTCATTCAATCGATGTTTAAAATTTTTGAATTACCTATTATTGTTAAATTTAATATTTCCACATTTAAGGCTAATAAAAACCTCAATGGAAGAAAAACAACGCGAGGGATATTTAAACTTAACATTTTTCGCTTAGTTTTTAAAGTTTTCAAATTTAAAAATCATTGTTAATTTTAATATTTAAAACATTAATTAGTTGACAGAAAATATTTAAAGTTAATCATATCATCATCATATCAAATATTTTCATAGTTAATTTGAATATTTTCAAATTAAATTAAGCAGTTTAATATGATTTGTCTTAAAGGTAACGTTTTTGTATTTAATTTAAATATGTATTTCGAATGTAAGAATTCATTTTGCAGATATTTATTTTTATATTTCTATCGAAATGAAGTCTAATAATGGCAACAAATATTTAAGTATCTCGAATTTATATTATAACTGAATAGGTATCGGAAACTCTTTTTTTCTATAGGTACTTATACTGAATACCTCATTTGTGATTAATATTTTATTTTTTTTAAGATTTAAGAAAGTGTATTTTAGTTTTTTCTGTGTGTATTTAACTCAAGTATTGAAATGTTGACCGATAAGTACGAATTAATCGGAAACGTCAGTCAATTCTCCCTTTTCCATGGGGGACAATTCCCCCAAGAGAGTTTCCCCACTCAAAAATTTTGGTCATTCCCTGATTAGGTCAAAATTTGTACTCCTTTTAATTGCTGTGTGGACGTGTGGATTCTATCAATTTGTTAAAAGCCGCTGGGGAATGTTGAAAAAAAGATTTATAAGGAACACTTGTTTTATGTGGATACTATTTATGTTTAAATCCTAAAAAACTTTTAATAATTTTCTGACTACCGAAAAAAAAACTTTGTACATTTCTAAAACCCGTTCTCCGTTCTCCGTTCTACAGGTGTTCTTCTGTTCTCTCTTTTAGATTCTTTTTTGCGTTCTTGGGAATAGGAAAACAATTTGGCAAACAGCATTTGACTACTAATTGTTGATGCTTTCGCTGCTGTTTGCTGTAACTCTTTTATCTCTGGGCCAGCTACAACACAAATACAACCAAAGTCAAGTTCATAATTTCAATTTTCAAGGTTTTTTCAACAAAAGGGGCAACGAAAAAAAAAAAACAGAAACGAAAAAGAACAGCAGAAAACAAAGTAAACATGCCTAGTAAAATAGCGCGAAAAGAGTGCAAAAAAAAAAGTGTGCAAAAAAGAAAGAGTAATGGGGGGGGGGGGAAATCGGGGGGGTCTGTCGACAGTGTTTGTGTTTTATTCGACTTCTCTTTTTTAATTTTTTTCCCGGCTCCCCATTCTCCACCCATTTGTTTTGCTTTTGGCCTTTTGTTTACGAGTGTTTTATGGCGGGCCAATAATTGGCCTTCACTCCCACTGGGGTCCTCGATATGGGCGATCGATCCAGATGCAGATTGAGAAATAATTAGGCACTATCTGAGTGAACTCAAGTAGTAGCGAATGCGAATAATTAAATCGAGTCAGCGAAATCAGATATGAATTGCAATTATCTATCAATTTTATTATCATTATTATAAGTTATCATCCAAGTTGTACCAAAGGTTCTTAACTGCGAGGAACAGAAATATTTGTTTATTTATTTGGTTATTTGCTAATATTCTTAATGAATTTACTAAATATAAGAACATTTAATTACAGCATAATATAAAATACAATTTAGGAAAATACAGTTTAAAATATATTTAAAGATCTAAATTTAATATAATTATCTTTATTGGTAAGACATCAGCATCTATAAAGATATTTTATTCTAATATTATAATTAAGTTCTAATAATGCAATAATTCTAAGTTTATTTACTTAATATAAGGACTTATAATAAAAATATAATACGCAATATAAGAAATAACAAATTGAAGTATATATAAATAAATTAAATTGTAATGTAAATTTCGATGCAAATTAAATATATTAAACTCGAATGATAGGGCAACTGCATATAATAAGTTTTTCCGTTTTCTCTGGCTTAAAAGTAGAGTATGTAAATCATCAAGTTATAAATTAATTTAAACCCCTATCTCGGTGAGCGATCGTTTCGGTAGTTACGGGGAGTTTGGGTGATTTCCCCGCGAAAAGGTTTCGTGGAAACTACTTTCCCAGATAATAGAAACTGGCGCCTGTCTTGCCGGCGTTTTGCGATAATTCTCCGACAAGTTGAGGTGTGAATATTATGGTATATGGGAAATCGGGGCGAGTCGGAGGGGAATGACGGTTTACTCACTGCATTCCGGGGAAAAAACTCACACAATTAGCTGTTGGCTCCCCTCCGAAAGGCTCTTTGAACCCTGCGATGTGATATGCATAAGTTGTATTTGATCGGTCTAAAGATAGACTTATCTATGCATTTCTAGGGGCGGGGAAGATATACGATTTAGCTGTAAGTCGCCACAATTAAAATTCCCCATAAAAGCCGCCCAGTCATTGCCATTGCATTCGCTAATAAATGAATGAAATGAACTGAATGACTTATAGGTAAATATTTACATTCACATGATGCCTGTGGCGAACCTATGCCAAAACAGCGATTTCCACTGTTTATTTTTTTATGTGGAAATGGAAGTTCGATTACCTGATTTCAGGAAGTGACAGAAGACACGTGTGTTTATTAACAAATATTATATATACCCTATAAAATAGGGTACCATTTTAGATTACAGTGGAAAATGGAATTCTCTTGATTAGTATTTGAAACAATCTAGCACTCAATTAACACCAAAAAATGTTTGATGAATGTAATCAGCAAGGTTCCTAACACTAATCTAATGGGACCTCTCACCTCGGAATACTATGTTTTACACAACAGATGCTGCTGTTGCTATCGTTGCTTCCGTTTTTACATAATATATAGAAATAATATTCCCGACCCGATGCGCTTTCTAAATGCTCTTGGTAGCCTTCATTTTGATAAGTTGCCAATGACAGCGGTGAATAAAATAAGAGCTTGTGTCAAGCGAGGGCAATTATGTAGATGCTGTTCGGTATTATATCACTTTATAAGGTGGCAACACACAAATCGCCAGATAAGGTGACTGTATCAATTCCCGAACCCAAAGATCCGTGGGTAAACCTATCACACGTGGCGGCAATTAATTTTATTGGGGTTAGTCACTTTGCCATCGCTCCTTTTCCGCATTCTTTTACTTATTTCTAATTTCTTTTATTTCTTCGCAAAGTCTCCGCTTATCAAAATTAGGTCAAACTTGATGTAGGCACTTTTTGTTGATTAGTTACCGGTAGAACGCAAAAAAAAAAAGAAACAAAGGCGTTAGCAATTTATGGCAGCGCCAACTTTGTTGCCATTCGCCTTTTGGCGGGTCGTTCGGCGGGGGGAGGTTACGTCTGTTTGGGTGATAAGAACCCGGGTCTTATCAGTGGGCCCCAACTACAAAAACGAAACAAATCAGTTCTCCTTGAGCGCCGTCGAGTGGTTGCCGTGTGCGCGACAATCACCTTTGCACAGTAAAACCAAACTGAGCTATTTGAAAATATTTGGACTTTCAAGTGCCACACGAGTCCGTAATACTCTAAAATATCCTTTGTCAAGATTACAAAAAACTAGGCATCGGTCTATATGCAAAACCATATCCTAAAGATTCGATTATTGGCAAAAGTAAATAATAGATACATTTTCCTCTTCATTTCAAAACTGGACTTAAGCTGAACCAAACTAGGATTTTTTGAAAAATAACTGGTTATATATTTATATAATCTGATGTCTACTAACAACTGCTTTGAAAATATCATTAAAATCATTTTAAAATAAATATTGAAATGCCAGAAAACAAACTTTCCAAAACCCTATCATTAGGAATCAATGAAACAACCTTTCTTAGAATAAAAAATCTATATAAAGATTACAAATAAATTCAAATTCCTTAATGTCCTTAGCTGGACCTATTTTTTTTTCAGTGTGCAAATACTTTGTTGAATTTTGTTGCAAACTTGCAAAAAAATGAAAAAGTTCCTTAACATTGATTTTGAGATAGTTTCTGTGGGCAGATAAAATATTTTTGCAATGCGCCTGCTAATTGAGATAACGGTATAGCTATAGTACACTATTATTTATAGGCCCACGCACACAGATAGCGGTCACATGCGCCAAATAATGAATCTTGATTGGTGATCATTTTCCGGGCATATAAATCTCGTGCCAAAGTTGGGGATTTTCTTGTTTGGTTTGAAGAGGTTTCCTTGATTTTTAATCTCATAGTTACTTTTTTTTTATTAAACGGTAACCTCGGCGAAAGTCAATTCTGAATTTAATCAGTTAAAAAGATTTTTAAGTTTGGAATTTCCCAAAAGTAATTCAGATATTTTTTATGTGCGACTTCTGGAATATGCGAGCAATTAACTAACGATTCGTGGAAATGATTGATAGTTCCAAATTATCAAAAGCTACATATATTTGAAATGTACAGTCGAAATTAAAAAAAATAAAAAAAAATATAAATTCGAAATATACTTGAGCATTGACTTAATTCAAAGTAAAACAATATACTAAACATTATAACGCATTTAACAGATATTTATCTTTAAGGAAGTCATAATTTGATTTTAAAGTTATTTTCTACATGAGGCTTATAAAAATGTTGATTATGATAAGGTTTTTTAAAAAGATAACGAATGTATTAAATATTTTAAGTAAGAAGTTACTTCCAAGCATTGATTTAATAAAGCTCACTTATTAAATTATTATTCCTATTTGATCAAACAAGTAGGTATCTTGTCATAATAGCGTTTTATAATTTAAGTTTTTTTTTTTAATTCCAAACAAAATATTTTAAAATAAATAACCGTTAAGCTGGTGAGCATTAAGAATTTAATCCATTTTGTTTGTCGTTAACATTCAACTATGCGTATTTCTCCTGAAGCATTATAAGATTAAAACTCGAGATTTCAGGGTATAAAGTCGCCCATATCGACTCATATCCGGCGGTCAGCTGAACAATCTGCTGCAATGTATTCGCGGTGGTGCAGATATGGTTGCCAGGCCGACTTTTCGGACACGTACCCCTCGAAAAAAAAGGCCCCCGGATAGTTATAGTTATGGGCCTTATCGCCTGAGAGCCACACGCTCTTCGCAAAAGTCTTAGGACTTCCAGCCGGTCGACAAAGTGTCGCATCATCCAGAAACTATTGTGAAATTCCTCCTTCAAGTGCGGAGAGCCCACAAAAAAAAAAGAGAGTAATATAATCGTAGGTTGGAGGCAGTTTATTGTTGGCCAAGTTAATCGCGTGCCTCAAGTGCTCGGCCGTCTGTCAAATTATCAGCTGTTTCCCATTAATTACATGCGCGCCTATCGCTACCAATATACGGAATCGAAATTTCCTAATTTCTCGTTACTCATACGCACCGTTGCCGTGCCAAAAAAAAAACAGTTCGTTTTCGTTGTTTTTTTTTCGGTTTAGGTAAAAGGGGCTGCTGATTACGTTACGCACGAAAGCTACGCACGGGTATGCGCAAATAGAATTTATAAAAATAATCTCAAGTGTAGAGAGTTTGGCCGCTTGCGTAAATATTTCTGATAACGCCGGGCAGCTGATTATAATATAATTATAATTTCAGTCTTGGCAACCGACGACAAGATGGGTAAACGTCACCGTTATCAGTCCCTTATCAGCCCCACACCTCCCACTCCGCCCACTTGCACAACTCTTGGGGTGGGAGTGATTCATTACCTGATGGATACATTTTTTTTTAGATAAATTAGGCGGTCTTTATCTAAAAAAAAGGAATCCATCAGATACAAAATATATTATAATTATTGCTTCTGAGATATATACATACATGTATTGTTGTTGCTGTTTAATAAGACTATAGTTTTTGAAATTTTGAGAAAAATTGTCCAGTATCTTTGAGTTACAAGATAGCCTTAAACTCATTTTGCAATTCATCAGTAAACTTGCTAGTCACGGTTTGTTATCACAATTTAATTTATTGTACTTAAATAGCATACAATATTCATTTTTATTAAATAAGAAAATATAAGTACCAACAAAATGATAACAATTGTATTCTTGGAAGAGAAAAGGCCATAATTACATCATTGTTTACATCATTGTTGTTTGAGCTTACATATGATCTGAAAAGGAACTTAAATAACTAAAGAAAACTAGACTAACTACTAGACTAACTAGACTTTTCTAAATAAAGGGCCCTAAACAACGTATTAGATAATTACATAACAGTTCTTTTATAGCAAGTTTTGATTTCAAACCTCTTTGGTATTATATTTAATCTCACGAAAGTCATAAACTAAAAGTCATTGTAAATTCTTGATAATATATTATTAATATATTATGCTTAATCTTAAAAAAAAGACCACAAACTTTGCAATGAACCTTTGAGGTAGGCGGTGAATTTCCCCGCCCCGATCAGTGAATAATGTTATAGCCAAGTGATAAGTGATAAGCCATTTGGCGCCATTTGAAGTGGAATTGCGAACGCTGACAGGTTGCGAGATTCCTGATTACAACATGGGGCAATCCACTGTCCGTTGGTTTTTGCCAGATTCCGATTCCGATTCATATTCCCATTCCCATTCCCATTTCGATTTGTATTCCGTTTTCAGTTCGATTCGATTCGGTAATGGATGGAATGGATCCTGACCTCTGAGATCGC